GTCAAGGAAAGTTTAAGAGATGAGATAAAGCTGGAGCTGGTCTTGAAGGACAAGCAGAAGTCTAAGGGTGAAGGGAAGAGGTAGGTAGGAATGCTGCATATTAAGAAACACATCATGAAAATGACAGGAATGAAACTATACAGGTTTTATTTATACTTAAGCACTATCACCCTAAAATAACTTTATAGCTGAGGTTCAATTCAATTCAACATTTCCATCGTCACTGCTCTTAAATGATGGAGCAAATGCTGGGATGCTGGTTTTCTAGCTCATAGTCCCAGTTTACTATCCTGTCTCCTACTGAATTAAGGGAAACAATTACCTCAAAAGATACACATAGGTTGTGAACAAAAAAATACCTATGCCACACAAAGTAAAAAAATAAAATTTCAAATTAGTGTTTCAGAGTCTGAATTTTATCCTTAGCTGGTGGAATTCACATCTCCTTTCAGAATGCCCAGAATGTTATATTAATTGACGTGGATATATTTTCAATTGGCTCCACCTACAGTTTGTATTTCATAGTAACCAGTTTTGGCAAATTAAAGACCCAAAATTTAAATTATGTTTTAATTCATCTTCTTCTTTTGATTTTTTTGTTTGAGACAGTGTCTCATTCAATCGTCCTAGGGTTGAATGCTCTGACATCATAGCTTACAACCTCAAGAGATCCTCTTGTCTCAGCCTCCAAGTAGTTAGGACTCCAGCCCACCACAGCACCTGGCTAGTTTTTCAATTTTTATTATAGACGGGGTTTCACCTTGCTCAGGCTAGTCTCAAACTCCTGAGCTCAGGAGATCCACCTGCCTGGGCCTCCCAGAGAGCTAAGATTATAAGATGTGAGCCACCATGTCTAGCCTAATTCACCTTCTTGTAACAGAATGGTTAAGCTTTCAAATAAGTAAATCTGAAATAAATAATAAATAAATTTGTGGACTTTGAACTTGGCATATAAAGTAGAAGTTACAGAACCAAAAATTACAGTGAAAAAAGGTTCCATTCTAATACCATAGGATCAGTAGAATGCTAATAAATGTCCCTTATTTCCAAAAGTCCTTACATTATCAACCTGGAATATACCAGAAAAGCTACCACACCACTTTGTAAGAGTCATCTTTACAATAAACAAAAACCTCAAATGACATATCACTAGGTCATATTTTGGATAAGCATTATAAAGTGTTCTCAGATGCTTCTATTTTATATGGTTAAAAAACAGAACTAATTTTAATGCAATCTCATTTAATAAAAATTTAACATGTCAAACAATTATTTTTTAAGTAGCCCATCTAATAATTCATTCTCTGTTAAGAAATGTTATTGAGAAATGCCTGTCACCTTCAGTTTTAGATTAAGCTACTGCAAAAATAAAATTTCACTGTAGTTATATACACATGCATTTAAATGAGACTGCCACTGTGTTTCCCCCAATAATATGCCAGTGCAGCCAGTGGAAGAGGACAAAAGAGAGGTATTTCTCTTAGGTACTACCTAATTACCTTCAAGCATCAACAGTTTCCACATTTCTATATAAGACAATAAAAACTAAAGCGCATTACTCATCACACAGCTTAAGCAATCTTAACTTTCACCAATAACACTCCAGGGCCAAAGAAAAAATCAAATACTAAATAAGCTATACTGCAGGACCTACATGATCACAATGTATATTCGGAACATTATCCCATTATTCAATTCCATTCACAAACATCATCTACTGGTAAGAGAATATAATTTAAACAAAGAAGATTTTTTTTTCCTTTTGAGACAGTCTCACTCTGTTGCCCATAGAGTGCCATGGTGTCAGCCTAGCTCATAGCAACCTCAAACTCCGGAGTTAAGCAATCCTCCTGCCTCAGACTCCTGAATAGCTGGGAGGTGCCTACCATGATGCCTGGATAATTTTTCTATTTTTCCTAAAGACAGGGTTTTGTTCTTGCTCAGGCTAATTTCAAAATCCTAAGCTCAAGGGATCCCCCTGCCTGAGTCTCTCAGAATGCCAGGATTTGGATTTGGATTTTGCATGAGCCACCATGCCCTGCTCAAAGAAGATATTTTTAAAAGTAGAGTGAGAAGTTTGTGTGTATTACTGTGATCATTTCCATTAAAACCTGACGAAGTAAGGCTGGGCATGGTGGTTCACGCCTATAATCCTAGCACTCTGGGAGGCTGAGGCAGGTGGATTGCCTGAGCTCACAGGTTCAAGACCAGCCTAAGCCAGAGTGAGACCTCATCTCTTGAAAAAAAAAAATAGCCTAGCCTATAGTCCCATCTACTTGGGAGGCTGAGACAAGAGAATCGCTTGAGTCCAAGAGTTGGAGGTTGGAGGCTGCTATGAGATATGACACCATGTCACTCTACCAAGGGTGACAAAGTGAGACTCTGTCTCACAAAAAAAAAAAATTCAATGCCCAGCCCTGGCATCATAGCTCTTAGTAATCTCAAACTCTTGGGCTTGAGTAATCTTCTTGCCTCAGCCTGCCACAATGCCCAGCTAGTTTTTCTATTTTTAGTAGAGATGAGGTCTTACTCTTGCTCAGGCTAGTCTCAAACTCTGGAGCTCCAGCGGTCCACCTGCTTCAACCTTCCAGAGTTCTAGGATTACAGGCATGAGCCATCCTACCTGGCCCCAAACCGGAAGCTTCATACATTACTGGTGGGAATATAAAATGGTGTACTCTGGAGAACAGTTTAGCAGTTCTCAAAGTTAAATTTAGAGTTCCTAGCAATTTCACTTCTAGATATATACTCGAGAGAACTAAAAAAATCTATGCTCATATGAAAACTTGTAAACAAATATTCACAGAAGCATTATAATCCAAATGTACATCAAGTGATGAATCAATAAAACATATATCCATACAATGGAATATTATCAGCCATAAAGAAATGAAGTACTGATATGTGGTACAACACGGATGAGCCCTGAAAACATTATGCTGAAAGAAAGGCAGACATAAAAGGCTACATAACTGATGATTTCATTTATATGAAATGGCTAGAATAAGCAAATACATACAAAAAGAAAGTGAATCAGTGATTAACAGGAGCTGGAGGTAGGGAAGAATGGTAAGTGACTGCCAGGTTGGGGAGAATGCTAATGATCTGGGATTAGACATTGGTAATAGTTGTACAACCTTGTGAATATACTAAAAACCACTACTGAGGCTCAGTGCCCATAGCACAGTGGTTACCACACTGGCTACATACACAGAAGCTGGTGAGTTTGAACCTGGCCCAGGCCAGCTAAACAACAATGACACTTACAACAAAAAAATAGCTGGGCATTGTGGCAGGCGCCTGTAATCCCAGCTACTTGGGAGGCTGAGACAAGAGAACTGCTTAAACCCAAGAGTTTGAAGTTGCTGTGAGCTGATGCCACAGCACTCTACCAAGGGCGACATAGTGAGACTCTGTCTCAAATAAAAAAAAAAAACAGGGGCGGCACCAATCCCATATGTCGGAGGTGGTGGGTTCAAACCCAGCCCCGACCAAAAAATAAAAAATAAAAACAAAAATGCTATTGACTTGTATATTTTAAAATAGCAAATTTTATGATATATAAATTATGTTTGAATAAAAGATAAATAAGAAAATGATGGCCAGGAACAATGGCTCACGACTGTAATCCTAGCACTCTGGGAGGCCAAGGCAGGTGGACTGCTTGAGCTCAGGAGTTCAAGACTAGCCTGAGCTAGAGCAAGACCCATCTCTACTAATAACAGAAAATATTAACTGGGTCTTGTGGTGGGCACCTGTAGTCCCAGCTACTTGGGAGGCTGAAACAGGAGGATAGCTTGAACCTAGTAGATTAAGGTTGCTGTTAATGAGGCTGACATCACTGTCCTCTACTCTGGGACAACACAGTGAGACAGTTTAAAAAAAGAATTTCTATTGAGAAAACGTAGGTGGGAGAAAAGTGGTTTGTTTTTTTTGTTTTTGAGACAAAGTCTCACTTTATTGCCCTCAGTAGAGTGCTGTAGTGCAAATAGCTCACAGCAACCTCCAACTCCTGGGTTTACATGATTCTCTTGCCTCAGCCTCCCAAGTAGCTAGGACCACAGGCACCCACCAAAACACCTGGATATTTTTTTGTTGCTGTTTGGCTGGGGCCAGGTTTGAACCTGCCACCCTCGGTATATGGGGCCGGTGCCCTACCTACTGAGCCACAAGGCACTGCCTGAGAGAAGGCATTTTTTAAATTATTTTTAAGACAATAAGTCTCAAATTTAGACATAGTATCTAATCCTATTCTTTTCTACAGTAACTAGATAAGCTTTTTGCTAAATACTACAAAAAATCCTTATAATGACAACCACTAACAAATTAAATCCAAATTTCCTTCAAGACTGGGGTGCCCACTTTGCCTTTCTAACATCATTGCCCTCCACCCCGTCATAAACCCGAGCCACCAGCCTTAGGGATCTACCCAATATTCCCTGGGCACGCCATATAATTTCTCTGTGTCAGTCAGGAGCATATTCTGCCCCTTCAATACTTTTATCTTCTTTCCTAAAAGTTGAATTTCACTAATCTTTTAATATTTGGTCAAATACCACTTATGTTGGAGGGTCTTTCCAAAAGTCTCCAGCCCCTATCACTTCTCCCTTGAGTATTTCCACTCTCCTGCTCCTATTTCTGTTACATAATACACAACCTCCATAGCCAACCACCTCAAATAGACCTAATTTTCATAGACCAGATATGTACCACATGTATCTATCAGTACAGGAGACCTAGTTCCTTATGTTGACCACCTCTGTATATTGACCAGTTAGTCCCTTGGATGGTCAACTTGCAGAGGTTCTACTGTATTTATTATACTAGTCTATCTTGTATGAAAATTGTTTTGTATGTCTACATTCTCCTTGCCAGAAATTGGTATAGAGGTCGGTCCATGACCAAGTTTTGAACTGTGAGATTTAAGTGGAAGTCTGCTGGGAGGCTCTTAAGAAAAGCTTCTGAACTCTTAAAAGGCATAAGGAAGAGAGAACCACCACCTTCTGCTGGATGTCATCTTGTCTGGACGTGATGTAACTGTGGTACCCGTCTTGCATCCATGATGGGTGTTGGCCAAAGGACAAGGCAGACATGTTCAATCTGGCAGAGCAGAAAGGTGAAATGAATGGGGGTCCTGAACGATGATCCTAAACCAGAAGATTTAAACCAATCCTAGATGGAGGTAACTTGTTATTTGTGAGGATAAATTTTCCTCATTTTCAGATTATTTTGAATTTGGTTTTCTATTATTTGAAGCCCAACGCACCCTAATTTGTATAGTTGTGTTTGACACATAAATTAGACAATTAAGCAGCATTGTCAAGTACTTAATTGGGTAGAAGAGTCTCCTGATCATGGGAGAAGTCAAAGCTGTAGCTACATACTTGGGAGACATCAGCCTACAGCAAGAATTTACATTTGGGATCCAGGAAGACAGGATGGAAAAAAAAAAGTGGCTGAGCACCAAGCCTTACGGAACCCCAAGGGCAGAGGAGAAAAAACTAACAAAGAAGAAAGAAAACAAAAATGAGGTAAAACAAAACTACAGTGTACAGAAGCCAAGTGATTCAAAAAGTAAAATAGGTCGGCACCCATAGCTCAATGGGTAGGGCACTGGCCACATACACCAAGGCTGGCGGGTTCGAACCTGGCCTGGACCAGCTAAAACAACAATGACAACTGCAACAACAACAACAACAACAGCCAAGTGTTGTGGCAGGGGCTTATAGTCCCAGCTACTTGGGAGGCTGAGGCAAGAGAATCACTTAAGCCCAATTTGAGGTTGCTGTGAGCTGTGATGCCATAGCACTCTACCCAGGGTGACAGTTTGAGAATCTGTCTCAAAGAAACAAGCAAACAAACAAACAAAAAAGTAAAACAGAAAAGCGACTACTGAACTTAATGACAGAATAATTCAGTATAATAATATTCAGAATAGTTCAGAATAATTCATTAACGTGAAGGTTCCCTTGTCCTTCCACCAGCCTCCTTCTCCCTGGAAAAACAGCAGTCCCAAGTTAATTAGTATAATGGGTAAGGGCTCAGACTTGGGCTGATTTCTGGATCTATCTGTGGGTGATACATTTTTTTTTGAGACAGAGTCTTATTATGTCACTCTGGGTAGAATGCCATGGCATCACAGCTCACAGCAACCTCCAACTCTTGGGTTTAAGCAATTCTCTTGCCTCAGCCTCCTAAGTTGCTGGGACAACAGGCACCCACCACAATGCCCAGCTATTTTTTTGTTGTTGTTATAGTTGCCACTGTTATTTGGCAAGCCCAGCTGGATTTGAACCCGCCAGCTATGGTATATGTAGCTGGTGCCCTAGCTGATTGAGTTACAGGTGCCACTTTCTCAAATCTTAAATATTCTTTTCCTTTGATCTTATTGAAGAAGTATGCTGTCTTAAAATAAGTTTTCTATAAACTTGCGTATAACAACCACATAAGAAAATATTAAAATGTCTTTATGTTCACCTTGGGAAATTCTAAATTTTAAAACCATGCCAAATTAAAATATGACCACTTCAAAGAAAATGGGATAATTTCAAAGTTAAGACCAAAATAGCTTTTGATAAAAACCACTGCATGTTGCAGAAACAGTAACCTAGTTTCATTTTGACTATAGTGTTTGTTGCCCTCAAGTGATCTGCAACTTTCGAGCAAGATTATTTTCATTAAATGCGAGGTAATAGGTAAAGCAAAGGGGAAGAAATCAATACATCTTCATGCAACAAAACATCTCACCTTTTCAGTTTAAGAGAAGAAAAGCACAGTCCTATGAACACACACACATATCATATTGACAAGCCTCTTTTATTGGTGAAATAATTTTAACTCAAGGCTTAACTACCGAACATGTGGCGATTTAATGACCTACTTGTAAGGAGAAAAAAAACCCTCCGCATCACACCAAATTATTCTTGGCTATTTGTTCATGGCACAACTGGTAGATAATAACCTTAGCTGGGAAAGCTGATGGAAGATGTTGAAAAATACAAAGTCCTTTTCTACATGGAATTTTTAACTACTTTTCCCCAAATTAGGGTTCTTTATAATGTGCTGCAAATGACTGATGCATATTTCAGTAAGACAAAAGTCCCAAATATCATACTTCTGAATGAACAACCTGTTTAAGATGGTATCACCTCATAAACTCCAGAGAAGTTTCTTTTAGAATATAAAATAAATAAATTAGTAACAACACATACTTTAGACATACACACACACACACACACACACACACACACATATATATTTTGCAGAGACATAATCTCACTTTGTTGCCCTGGGTAGAGTGCTGTAGCGTCACACAGCTCACAGCAACCTCCAACTCCTGGGCTTAAGCGATTCTCTTGCCTCAGCCTCCCGAGTAGCTGAGACTACAGGTGCCCACCACAACACCTGGCTATTTTTTGGTTGCAGTTCAGCCAGGGCCAGGTTTGAACCTGCCACCCTCAGTATATGGGGCTGGTGCCCTACTCACTGAGCCACAGGTGCCGCCCTAGACATTTATATTTTAACTGCACTGGATTGTCTAAAAACTGAGCCTATGAGCAGCAAAGGCACCAAGCCCAAGAGGAAGTGAACAGACTCCTGGCTTACGGACAAATGAGTAGGTGGAGGAAGCATTTATGTGGGGAGAAGATTTCTTTAAAATACTTTCTTAATCTGAAGAAAACCACAGCTCTTCACAACTTGTGTTCTATAAATAGATATAATCAGTCAAAAGCCTTAATAAATGTTTTGTTTTTGCTTGCTAGCTTTTTTAAAAATAACTTTTGTCATAACCCAAATCCAGTGTGTAGTCAAGATGACTGAACCAGCAATGTGACCAAGGAGGCTGCCCAAAGTCTTGAGGACATATGGCTAAGTTTAATTTCCCTTCATCAACTGATGTTGAAGAAAAGATTTAGTAATGTGGACTTTTACTAAATTTTACTTCTCTTACCAAAATCAAAGAATTTTCACACTTGTTTATATCAATGCAAATTTTCTATTGCTGCTTATTATCTAGGTAGCATCTTTAAGGAATGTAGCTAGAGCAACCAGAGACAGTTTTGATCACAGAAACATTTTCAAGTAATCCTTCCCCATCCCCCCCAAAATATTTACCTAAAAATCATAAAGTTCCTATCCAATAAGTATTAGTCTCTCTTATAAATGGAGGAAAACAAGGCCCAGTGGCTAAAGGATGAGTCAGAAGGACTTTGAGAGAGTTAAGAACCAGCTGAATATAGAACTGCTATGTTCTTTTCTCACTTAAGATAAAAATCCAACTAGATGATAGGTGAGGTTTTTCTTTTTTTTTTGGAAGGGGTGGTGTGGGGTGGCAGTATAGGGGTTATCTAGATTTTTTACAATGAACAAGCATTATTTCTATAGTAAACAAAACAACTATCCTAAACTTAAACTGAATGAATTTATCAAATCCATTCAGATCCAATGTTTAAGAACATTTAGATTAAAGTGTTAATGAAAGTCAAAAGAAATGCAAAGAAAATTTAAGCATCAGAAGCAGTTAAAGTGACCATCTGTGCTGGTTTGCTGCGCAAAGTCCTGGTTTATATCTGTTTCTCCCAGAATAATTGTTAATAATGCCCCTCTCACATGTCTCCCAGTCTGGACAATAAATTATATGGTTACTCTATTTTTTTTTTAACTCTACTATTCCTACAGGGATACATGTTAGTAAAACATATGATTTTAAGGTTTACATATTTTTAAAACTTCTTAATTTATTATTTTTTTAATAGAGACAGGGTCTTGCTGTGTTGCCTTGGCTACAATGCACTAGCACCATCACAGCTCACTGCAACCTCAAACTCCTGGGCTAAAGCAATACTCCTGACTCAGCCCTCCATGTAGCTGGGACTACAGGTATACTACCATGCCCAGCTAATTTAATTTTTTTTTTTTTTGAGACAGAGTCTCACTATATCATCCTCAGTAGAGTACTGTGATGTCACAGCTCACAGCAACCTCAAACTCTTGGGTTTACGCAATTCTCTTGCCTCAGCCTGCCAAGTAGCTGGGACTACAGGCACCCAGCACAATGCATGGCTCTTTTTTGTTGCAGTTGCCATTGTTGTTTAGCTGGCCCAGGCTGGGTTTGAACCTGCCAGCCTTGGTGCATGTGGCTGGCGTTATAACCACTGTGCGACAGGTGCCAAACCTAATTTTTAAATTTTTTGTAGAGACGTGGTCTCATCAAGTTGCCCAAGCTGGTCTCAAACTACTAGTTTCAAGTGATCCTCTATCCTTGGCCTCCCAAAATGCTAGGACTACAGTCATGAGCCACTGCGTTCAACCTTAAAAAACTTGTTTTAGATATTCTTCTCATTTTGATATATCCTTGTTACATAATAAAATCAATCAAAGATTTGCTTTCATCAAATAAAAGGAAAGCAAATCTTATTTTATCACATCAAAATGTATATAATAAATAAATAAAATGAATTTAAAAAATCAAGCCCCTTGGCCAGGCGTGGTGGCTCACACCTATAATCCTAGCATTCTAGGAGGCCAAGGTGGGCGGATTCCCTGAGATCGAGTTGGGGACCACCCTAAGCCAGAGTCAGACCTCGTCTCCAAGAAAAAATAGCAGGGCACTGTGGTAGGCGTCTATAGTTGCAGCTACTTGGGAGGCTGAGGCAGGAGAATCACTTAAACCCAAGAGTTTGAGGTTGCTGTGAGCTAAGATGCCACGGTACTCTACTCAGTGTGACAAAGGGCAGATAGCTCTCTTTAAAATGCTACTTCAATAATGTAAGAACATATTGTGATTCATAGAATATATTGTGGTTTCTAGATATTTCCTACCAAAAGGAAACAAGACATGAAATTTAAGTCTAGAACATCTTGTTACGTGGAAAGCAAGGAAGCTATCAAAGACCATTAGGATTGTGTCATAAATACTCAGGAATAAGCCAAATAAGTTCTTGGTAGACAAACACAAGACAATTGAGTATAAACAAGGATTAATAAGAACAGTGGACTTCTTTGGGCAAGTTTGGGCTTTAAAAAAATAGAACAGTGGATTGAGGCCAGGTGTAGTGGCTCACACCTATAATCCTAGCACTCTGGGAGGCCAAGGTGGG